TTATGTTTCAAAATACACACATCCTTACGATTGAGCGGAACAAAAGTCTAAAACACAACATAATCCATTGACCTTTCTAATACCCATATACAACCCACATAGTGTCTACGGAGCCTCTAAATAGATACAAAAGAGAGTACTACAAAAGTGGCGGCAACAAGGCACCGGCTATACCTCAAGTACAATACATAATGAACAAAAGATGCATGACCCCGAATTGAAATGGGGCTCACCAATACTGCTGGAAGGAGGATGATGTACTACTAACGTTGGTCAACACTGACTGCTATAGAACCACCTGCATTCATTTAAGACACAGCGCCCCCAGCAAAAGGGACGTTAGTACCATTGAATGCTACTAGTATGTATAACCAAACACCATGTCATTAGAAAGAACAATGGTATAAGAAGGAAGTACTCATAGATTCAATAAAAGCCTTGAACAACACCACAACATCAAATTAAGGATCACATAAGCTTTCAAGTAAATTTCTGTAGCTTTAGGTTGGGACATAACTTTGTAACAATAAGTCCCCTGTTTGTAATAAAAGAAGCTTTTTCTCATCTCCCGGATCCATTTTAATTTGATTAAAACCAAAATAGGTACCGGCTATTTTGGTTTTAAATTGATACAAAAGAGAGTATCTAAAAAACTATAAAGCTCATCGATGGTTGCAGAATCAATTAATTGATCTATATGCAATAAAGGAAATGAATCTTTAGGATATGCCTTATTCAAATTAGTATAATCTACACATACTCGTCATTTACCATTCTTTTTCAGAACTATGACGGAATTTGCTAACCTATCAAAGTATTTTGCCTCATGAATAGAACCAATTTTTAACAGTTTACTTACCTTTTCTTGTATTACCTGGTTTTTGAAAGAATATTGCTTTCTCTTCTTTTGCTTCACTGGTGGGTGTAATGGGTCTTCATTAAATTTATTAGTCATTACCTCCAGTGGGATATTTTTCATATCTAAATATGACCAAGCAAAACAATAAGCATTAGCATGCAAAAATTCAATTAACTTAATTTTTGGCTCTGAGCTTAGGTTTGTTCCAACGTCAGCTTTTCTTTCGGGCCAATGGACAAATAAAATAATAGCCTCGAGCTATCTGATGTTGTTTTAATAGCATTATTTTTCTCCGATTGTAGAATCACATCAGTTCTTACGTCCATGCCTGCTTCATTTCCCATATCTATTGTTGCGATTGATGTGGGTTCGGTGGGTTCCTAAACTTTGCACTGTAATTGCTTTTTTTATTCTCCATCCCTGGTTGTTCCACTTCCTAAAGCCACCGTATTTGTTTCTTGTGCTACTCGTTGATCTCCTATGATTTGTTGAATTCCCCACTTTGATGGGAATTTAATAACTTGATGTAAAGTTTATGGTACTTCATCCATCTCATGAATCCATGGCTTTCCTAAAATCATGTTATAAGCCATATCTACTTCCACCACTTTGAATTTGATGTCTTTCACCATCCCTTATACGAAAGTAGACAATGTAGCTTCTTCGTTGGTTATTACAGTTGAATTGTCGAACTCGAACAAAGATCGAGCCTTTGGTATTATGTGATTTATTTTTTGCATTCCAGTAACCACTCGCAGTAGTATAATATTTATTGAGCTACCTAGATCAATCAAAACTCATTTCATATTAGTATCATGAACAAGTAGAGAATTTACTCGTGCATAATTAAGTGGGGTATGAACAAACCATCAACATTCTCATCATCAAATATTATGCTCTCTCCTTCTAAGATTTTTCGAATACGTTTTCCATGTGTCACAAATATTTTAGATTTTGTCTTTGCTTCTGTATTCATTAGTTCATTAACTTCTTCACCTCTGGTTATAACATTCACCGTTCTTTTTGGTGATGAAGGCTTCAATGGTTCTTCTTTATTCTTCATATATGATTTCTTACCTTTCTCACTAAATTAAATCAGTGAGGTAACCTTTCTTCAACAGATAATCAACCACTTCTTGTAGAATCATGAATCCAATGTTCTATGCCCATGATCATTATGGAATTCGCACCAAAATTCCTGACTCTTTTTGCGAGGATCTAACCTCATCTCTTTAGGCCACCATAGCTTGTCTCCCATGCCTCTTAGCTGAAGTACTTACATTAAGATTAAAATTTGCTAATTTTGGTATAGGACTCTGGTAATTGTACTTTGTCACTTCTTGTTCTTTCCCAAAACGAGAAGAAGAACCTACTTCATTTTGCCTTGACCTTTCATCAGTTCATACTTGTTCCGGCTTTGGCATATGTCAGGATCCCAGATCCACCGGAGTAGTGATGGTGCCTAACACTACTTGCTAGGAAAACCATATTCAATATACAGAAATAACTTCAATAATAGTAAGAAATAGTCCAAGATGTGGAATGATATAAGTTATTATAGCCAAATAATATTATAATTGAAATACCATCTCAGGACCTGGTGTTAGCGAGTACATGAGCTCTATAGAACAAATAAGTACAACTATTAAATATACTGTGAAAAGTACATAAATAGTAATGAGAAAAGCATGATAGGGACTCCAAGGAGTGCGAACGAAACAACAAGGCTACTTTGAAATCTCCAATAGGTATTGGTACGACCTCTAGCAATCAACTCTATCAGCAACACCTAGATCTGCACATAAAGTGCAGAGTGTAGTATGAGTATAACTGACCCCATATACTTTGTAAGTAGTAAGCATAACCTTATATTGAAGATAGTGACGAGATTAACAATAGTCCGCTGCTCACTTTCAATCAGCCAACAATAACGATAATAGCATAATGATAATCGCAAAAGGAAAAGCAACTCAAAAATAGCAAGTTCATCTTGATCACATTAACATGAAGATAGGCATGCTTTACTAACAAATCAATTAAGGCATCAATTTCAATACATAAAGTATTAATTAGCATGAGGAAGATGCGTCTCTATGTCTGCATGACAAGTATCAATACAAAAATCAACAAATTCACAACTGAATTATCAAGTAAGCACAATCTCAGTAATGTACGAGTGCCTGGCATAAAGCCCCTCACTAAGCACATTAAGTGTCTGCACTCACTGGGCCCAAAGTCACATAGGTTATCACCTAACTCTGGAGGGGCGGATCTTAGCCCAAGCGTTGATCAGATAAAAAGTCAACGATCATCAAAACTCAGCTCAAATGGCCTAGCGTACACGTAACCTCAATATCAATATCACTCAGCCCAATAAGGGGCCTAGCATATGCGTCACCTTAATATCAATATTGACACGGCTCTATAAGACACCAACAACATGAGAGATCAATATACTGCACAATTATACCAATATGTCACACATGCCACAAATCCACTCAAACTCGTGTCACACAAGTAGGGATACCAACACCATGAGAGATGGCAAGTAAGAAGTACATAGATGGTGATATAACATGCAGATCTAATATCATCACTAAAAAATATGACTATAATCAAGGCAAACAACTCAACATGGCAAGAAAGGTTGTATCATTATCTCAAATGGGTAATTACAAAGCCTAGACATACTTTTATAGCATGAATAATAGCTCAAGTAGTCCTATAAATAGTGAAAAACATGACAACACAAAGGCATGTTGGCAAAACAAGGCACCTAATAGCCTACAGTCGACTCAGATCATGAATAACCACGGTTTACGCATGTACACTCGTCATTACATACCTGTTTCACCCCTATCCAAAGCAAGTATCATAGTCTATAGGGAAAATACCCGCAAGCCAAGCCGAGGTAAGATACTTAACTCAAAGCGCGAGATCAATATTTCAAAAATCCCTTGCCTCCCGAATCAACATCCGAACGAGTCAAATCTAGCAAAAAATATCTCAATAATGTCAAACAAGGCTATAGGAATTGATTCCAAGTAATAAAGCTCCAATCTTTATCAAATTGCAAAAAGTCCACTTGAGCCCGCTTCTTGGAACCTGAGTACTACCCATTCAAATACTAGTCCAAATATACAAGTTTCATCCAAATCTGACTCCGAATCAGGGTTCAAATCTTCATTTTTCACTTTCCAAAAATCATAGTCAAAACCTCCAAATTTTTCTTTTAAATCCTATAATCTATGTGTAATAATCCATGGGAAAACAAGATATAATGTTAAAATCAAGTAGAAATTACTTACGCTCTTGTCTTGTGTAAAATTCCTCTCCAAAAATCGTCCATCTCCAAGTCTTGGGTTCAAAATATAAAATAATGGGTCTAAGTCCCAAAATTATTAACTTAAATGAGTCTTCCCTGGACTATACTTCGCGAATGCGGCTCAAGCCTTGCGTTCACGAAACACAACTCAGCCTCTGCCCAATAGGCTCTTCGCAAATGTGGTCAACCATCTGCGAACGCAATGCAATATTATCCTTAGCCTACGCAAACGCGTTCCACACTTGGTGAACGCTAAGGCTAACCCTAATCGGCTCCCAACCAGCCACTCCTCTATGAGAAATCGAGCCCTTCACCCGCGGACATGAATACCAACAGCTCCAATAAGGATATCTAGAGTTATGATTTTTCCAATTATCGAAATCTTCCTGATACATCTCCTATAATTTCTTATAAGTATTCTCTACTGATCGAGAGCACTTTAAGTGTCGTAATTCTCTTTCAAGCAACTACAATAATTTACTAGACATTCTCCCGAACTACGCTAGCTGGTACTACCTTACCACTTGCTATGACCACGTCAAGGATTTATTCCTCTTAAACCCACCTTTAAACCCGTCGTATTGATTCCTCACATAACTTAGGAATGACTTTGTTCAACAACCACCTAAATATGTACTATTTTCAAGCAATACATAATAAATAGGCGCTATTAATTGAGAGCTGAACAATTAACTAAAATAAGCACGTAATTAAACAAGTAGAGAAATCCAAAGGCTAATTATATGAAACCATATCAAGAATTTATCCTTCAAAATGTTCCATCAAAACCCTAGAAAGAAATTTAGCTACTCATAGTCATGCTAACAATCACGTTAATAATTGAAAGCATTAATCTACAAACTAAGAAAGTATGGAAGAAGAACCCGTATGATCTGGTGCTTTGCAAATGTTACAGTCATCTTTCGCCTCCCGAATAATAATGTCTAACCTCTAAAAAAGAGGTTTAGAACCCCTTTTATACATGTTGGGGGAGTGTAATGGCGAAACTACCAAGTCCTAGCCGAAGTAGGAAAAGTTTCTTGCTTGGGCGCCACGGAGGGCGCTTCGCGCTAAGCTGGGCGCCCAACTCTATCTTGTGATGTCTTTTGTATTTTGACCTGGCCTAGCTCGAACCTGGATGCCAAAAATCATACTCCCTCTAAATTCTTCTCTTTTGGCTTCAATTTGCGCACAATCCTTCCGTATTACCTCCGATTGACCCCTATACATATAAACATCATTATTAAGCTTGAGTCACAAATATTTGCACTAACTTTAACAATATCGAGGCATAATGCAAGCAATTTACATGCAAAAAACATGGATTTTCGCCAAACATCAACATCTAGACGCCAACAAATCTTCAGCTATCCAACCAAGCTCAAATGAACTAAAATATATCCGAAACACTCCCGAGCCCCCTGAGACCTCGTCCAGTTATACCAACCAATCCCAAAACATAACATAGACTTATTCGAGGTCTCAAGTCACACAAAATAACATCAAAACTACAAATCGCACCTCAAGTCAAGCTTAATGAACTAGTCAACTTCCAACTTCAAAACTCATGTCGAACCATGTCTAACCAACTCGGAATGACTCCAAATTTTACACACGAGTTCCAAATAACATAACAAACCTGTTTCAAGTCCCGAAACCACAAAATAAGAAGTTTAAAAATGTATTATTTCTAAATAACAGAAAATATATCATTTTTTGTAAGGATAAAAAATAAAAGAATGTCACATAAAATGAAAAAAGAAAGGACTAGTTTGTTGCAAGAAAGAAACTTTTCATTCTATAGACGGCACGTGATGTTTTTTTTTTAAATCACTCTTTTAGGTGGCAGAGGGTTTGGCAATGGACCCCTACCTTGTAAATTAAAATTCATAGATTAATCACTAAAGAGGGGACGTAAAACCTAACCTCGACAAAAACAAAAGAAAATGAAGGCATATTCGTGGACTCTGATATACAATGAAGATCCTATCGATTGGAAAGGAACATTTCCCTTATATGACGTGATGCTTTCTCTGTGTAAGCAGCATGCATTTTTTCTTTTGTGGGGATGCTCGTTTTCGGAGGGGCTGGAGATTCGAGCAGTGTAGCAATTCGAGTAATTAACATAAGAGCACAGAAATTAAACATGAACTGTTATGATGAGTTGATCAGATATTGTTTTTCATCATGTCGCGAGTTTATAAATTCTCTAAATATTGAACTATCCTCTAGCGTGCCCAGATTAATATCTAAAAGGTAGTAGTAGTAGTAGTATAGAAATAATTTTCTGCATAGGAGATTTGGGGTGAATGTCTTATGCACAATATATAAGAGTCTTACCAAAAAACACGTAAACGAATCCATAGTAACTTTACTATTTAATGTTTTTTGGTTTCTTACAGATAGAGACTTATTAACGACGAGTCATGGACATAGAAGAAGCAACACCTCTAAAACTTGTATCATCCAATGAAGGAACGAAGCCTAAGCAACCCAGTACGCCATTCTTGTATGGCAAGAAAGTTTTCCTCTTCATCTCCTCCGAGAGTGCCCTATTCAACGTGTAATGCAACTCATGAGCCGAAACCTCCCTCTTCCTCAAGGAGCTTGATACCGATGACGATCCAACACTACTACCAGTTGATCTAAAGCTTGAAGTCTTCGCATCCTCTTTACTATGAGTTTTCTTCAAAAACCTGTTTAACTGATCTTTATTAGTTGCTCTACCCTCTGACGCGCTTCTGAATAGAAACAGGTCTTTCAGCTTCCATTTTCTGTACCATAGTGTTATCATTGATGAAAATGAAGAAGAAGAATCAGATATGTTTGTATTTTCTTGCTTGCTTTCACTATCAAACAGTAGATCGGAAGCTCTGAAAGGAGATAAAGATCTTGTCTTTTTGTGCCTTGAAGAAGTTGTAGATTTCTGAGTTCTTTCCCTACCAGGACGATCATTTTCTGTTCGACTACTCTGCTCTAGGGCTGCTGCAAATGGATCTAATTCTTTCTTCTTGTTTCGGGGAGAGAAAGCTTGCTTGAACTTTTTCTTTGGAGATTTCGGCGAATCAAATGGTTTGCCTTCATACTGTAACCTTGGTGGTGGCTTCAATTTCAAAGGCTTGATTTTTCCACCATCAAAAAGCTCATCAGCAGCTGATACAGAACTTCTCTCCAACTGACCACTAAAATCAAAAGCAAAATCATCATTCTCATCATCATCATCACGGGTTGCTCTTGATTTTGGAATTCCAGGCTTTTCCTCCCAATTGAATGGAACTTCACCACCGGTTGTTCTTAGGGCATCGCCACCGTGGAGGTGATTGTATCCGTCGTAGAGGGCGGAGACACGTGCAGGGCTAGTAGGGGCGCTGAGAAAATAATTGCCAAAACGTTGAGGGCTTGAAGAAGCACTTATATAGGGAGTAGTACAAGTACTATCGAAGTTGAAGTCCACTGGAGGTGAAGTTATCATCACTTCCATCTCCATTTTTAGCAAAATTTATAATTAGCTGCTTTTGGTATGGAGAGAAAAGGGGGAAATTCGGCGAGCTCAGTTTTAGAAAAAAGGAGAAGGGTAATGATGATATAGGCAAATGCAGGGGAAAAGAGTAGAATTGGAAAGAGAAAGGAAAGTGATGATTTATTTGACCATAGGGGGGCAAATGGCAATGGCAGGCAGAGTTGTAGCCGCCTTTGGTTTCTTGTTTGTTTTTATGGACTTTTCTTTTCGTTCATGGTCTATATTTTGACCGGGACATCCCAACAACTGCTATTCTATGAAATGCCGACATTGTCCTCTTCAATACAAAAATATTGTTCACAATTTTAAAGGGAAAATTTCACATAAAAATAACTGAGCTTTCTGCTCTTCAATTTTATAATTCATATTTTAATTTATAATTAATTAGCCTAAAAATAATAGGCTAAGATTCAACATACAATTTCAATAGGTTCTAGAAATTACTATCTAATTTTTAAAAAAGATTGCTCAAGCTTTTAAGTTAATTTTCGAATCAGTAACTGTAACTCAAATATTAATTCAACAAACCAAATCTATTTAAATGATGAAAATTAAATTTTTTAACAAACTTAAACATGTGGGTTTAAATTTTGAATTTTATTTTGTGAGAAATTTGGAGTGACTGTATTTAGACTTTTGTTAGAAATAGTATAAGGAGGTTGTATATAAAATTTGAAGTCATTTAATGGAGATTTGGATTGGTTTTGAACAAAAATTGTAGCGGAAAATCATGGAAGAAGTTCGTCTACATACGCTTGTATAAGGGTGTATAAAAGTGTATAAGATGTGTTTATATACTCATATACAATATTATACAAGATTATACATAATTATACAAAAACTGACTTCGTCTTCTTCCTTGCATCTTTTCTAAAATTTAACTCAAATCTTGCTCGAATCTACTTCAAATTTAAATTTTGAACTCCTTTTGATATTCTCAATCAATTGGAACAACATCCAATTCAAACAACTAACAAACTTAAAAAATCCTATTTTCGAAAGCAAAGCTTTGAATGACCTTCAATGGTGGATTTCTACTCTTCAATTTTCTTACATTGCAACCAGGTGATACAAGGTAAGAAGCAGCAATGGTGGACAACCCTTTGAAGAATATGTAGAAAATGTGAGAAGAAGAGAGCGTGAAAGCAATGGTCGTGAGAACACATATTTAACTCCATAGCTTTTAGAAACATTAGTTGTAAGAACACAAGTTTTGAATTTGCTAGTACTTTCAAAATATGTACAATATATGTTAGGTTGGGTAAAACTTAAAAACATGAGTCATGTTTTATTATGGTGTGAAATCATATGTATTTTCTTGTAATTCTTTCAATTTTAAATCCGTCCATATAAACTACATTTCACGGTTGATTTTATTAGCATAATACGGCATAAAATTTCGCACGAAGTACTGTACTATTTAGTTGATCCCATAAAAAAGTAATTGTTGCATAATTATTACAGCAATTAGTGTAAAAATTGCACGGGTGCCTTATTTGGTCGCCCTCATTTAATCTATACCTATTTTTTTTAAAGGTTTTAACTTGTACCCACTTTTTAAACAACTTCAGCCCCATTTCTCCTTCTCCTTCGTTTTCTTCTTCTTCCTCTTCCTCTTCTTCTTCTTTTTCTTCTTCTTCTTCTTCTTCTTCTTCTTCTTCTTCTTCTTCTTCTTCCTCTTCTTCTTTCTTCTGTTGTTGTTGGCGCTGCTATGAAACTTCAGTTCATGAAATGATTGTCATAAGTATGTTTATCAGATTTTTTAAAAAAGAATTATAAATAATTACGTAAGTTAGTAGATAATAATTTGTGAATATTTTCACGTACGAGAACTTTAAGGTCACACTTAGTGATTATTTTCATGGTAATTCTATTTTTTTTTACGTTTATTGTTTCCAAAATTTATGATTTAGATACTATTGGCAAACTGATTATTTTATAGTAGTGATACATTATGAAAGAATAAGGTGATTATTTATCCAGTATGTTAGAAAACTTTTTCAAAAATTTCAGCTTGTATAGTGCTGAAGTTTTTACAAATGAACTAAATAACTTCAGCATCTTCTGCTGAAATTTTTGAAAAAGCTAAATGACAAAATTAATGAATCCAGGACAAAAAAACTTCAGCTTATTTAGTGCTGAAGTTTTTACAAATGAACTAAATAAGTTCAGCATCTTCTGCTGAAATTTTTGAAAAAGCTTTATGACAAAACTAATGAATCCAGGACAAAAACATTTCAGCTTATTTAGTGCTGAACTTTTTACAAATGAACTAATTAACTTCAGCATCTTCTACTGAAATTTTTGAAAAAGCTTAATGACAAAACTAATAAATTCAGGACAAAAAGATTTCAGCTTATTTAGTGACAACGTTTTTACAAATGAATTAAATAACTTCAGCATCATAAAACTTCAGCTACTAGAATGCTTAAGTTCAGCAATTACAAATAAAAACTTTAGCAAATAGAGAACAAAAATCAGCACTAAAATGCTTAAGTTCAGCAATTACAAACAAAAATTTCAGCACACTTTGTTCAACAATTTTTGCTACTTCAGGCCCGTCTACTAAAATGTTGAAGTTTGCGTGATTGTCTTTGCTACTTCAGGCCCGTATGCTGAAGTTACGCGAAAAAGTGAGTACGTTTGCAATTCTTTTTTACAAAGCGGGTACAAGTTAAAACGTAACCCAAAAAACAGGTATAGATGCAAATGCCCCGCAATTAGTTGACCGCATAAGAAATAAATTTCTGCGTGACTAATGCGTTTGCTTGCTATATCAAATTTCACGGATTCAAAAATATCCTAAAAGTAAGTAATTTCTACAACTTAATCCTTTCATTATATGTTATTCACCGCATAAACAATGGATGTATCATTAATCACTTCAGAAATAATTAACTTTTTATGATTATTTTTCACATAAATAATTCATGCACTAATATAATTCTCTTTTAACTAGTACGTGAGCTAATTAATTGGTTTACTTTATCTGAAATGTTTTCAATTATATATTTTAGTTCATATACGCACGGAGTATAGAGTAAGACAACACATGAGTTGTTTATGATATATATGGTCCACATGTTAGTTATGAAAAATTATAAAATATGAATTATTATGTAGAGTGTTGTTTATGCGGGAATAATAATAAAAGAATTGTTATGCATATGGATTATTAGAGAGATGGATTATTAGAGAGATGGATTATTATGCAGGGAATTACTTAATTCGAGGACAATTTTATCTTTAAATATTTAGTCCATGTATCAAACTAGTTTGGTAGGATGTATTACAAAAAATACTATATGTATTAGGTTTGTTATTATTAATCTTTTTAATAGTATTTTTCAATTTATATATATTACTAATACATATATTTATTATACATCATATTTAGTACTATTCTTATACATAGATCATGACAGTAGCAATACATAATTTATAAAGATAAAATTGCCCTTTAAAACCTTTACCAAATCCTTTTCAAAAAAATATAGTATAAGTTATTTTTATAAACAAATATTTTTGGTAAGAAATTATGCAGTGGTCGTTGTTTTTAATACACTAAACTAAACATTCGATAAGAAATAATCTCGGCATAACTAATCACAATATTACAAATACATCTTATTTAGTATTATACTTTTACCCGTACCTAATGATGCTTTATTCTTATTAGTTATACAACTTATTCATTACTATTCTTATACATAGCAAACCATGTTGTTAGAAATATTATGATTTTTAATATATGGATAAGCATGTATAAAGATAAAATTATCCTTTCAAAACTTTTAATACACCAAACTAAGTACCTCCTATGTTTCAATTTATAGGAACCTATTTGACTGGACGCATAATTTTAAAAAAAAAAGAAGACTTTTGATGTTGTGGTGTAAAATGAGGCATATATATTTTGTGTGGTTATAAATTATTGCATAAAGATATATTGTTTCTATATAAGAAAAAAGGGATATTCTTTTTGACACATACTAAAATAAAAATAGATTCATACAAATTGAAACGGAGAGAATTGTCTATAAAAAACAATCTCACAATAACTAATTTCAGCAGTAATAATCATTACCTTACTAATACACCATGTTTAGTACTAAACGATCATTTAAATTGTTCGGACACACAGACTAAAAGCTACAGTCGCCGGCCCCTACACCTATGATAGAGCAGATATATAGAGGGCTATATGTCCGTCGAACTTGAGTGCTATGGATCTGATTCTCTTTAATGTATCATCCGAGGCAATTCAGAATACGTTTGTGATTTCACTGTTTGATTTGCATTGCTGATGTAACTAGTAATAATTTAGTATAAAGTTTAAATTAAAGAAGGATGACAAGTTCACTATGTGATGATTACAAAAAAGCTGATGCGACATCGATTTAGATTTTGATATTTCCGTTTACTGCTCTATTCCCTGTATTTTTGGACATATATTTCAAGATTTTTTTTTTAAAATTTAAAATTTCACTAAAATTTGATTTGAAGATAAAATTGTGTTTGGTTATAATTTTTACAACATACTTGGATGTAATTTTTTCAAAAAAGTAAAATTTTCATAACCAAACATTATTTTTTAAAAAAAAAATTCTTATGTCCAAACGACCTCTTAATACTATTTTAAAGTGGAATATCTCGAATGACATAAACATAATCTTTCTCAATCTACAAACTAACAAAAAGGCAGGAAAATAACACAAGCGGAGCACATGCTGATAATGATGTGAAGCGGGAATTATAGGCGACAACACGGGATAACTCACCTGGATCTGCACAATTAAGTGTAGCTTGTAGTATGCGTAGAATCGTCACATGTATTCTGTAAGTATTATGACTAACCTTGGAGTGAAAGTCGCAAGAATCATCAATGATACTCACGTGATAAAAATCTTGTAACAACCAGCCAGTCGTTTTGAGAGTATTAGCCCCAATCCCCTATTTATTGACCCCTCTATTTCATTTTGTGGTTACGTGACTTACCGGGGTCCTTGGTGTCGGTTCGGGAGAGTTTCGAAGTGAAGTGGGACACATAGTTCCTAAAATGGAAGTTTAAGTCGTAGGAGTTGACCGTAGTTTGACTTGTGTGAATATGACCTCGAAATGAAGTTTTAATGGTTCTAATAG